ACACACACACACACACACACACACACACACACACACACACACACACACTTTTAAAAAAACTAAACATTATGTGCTACCCACCCGATGATGCTGTCCACTTTCAAACTGAGGAGCTTGTCAGAACACACTGCTCACAGAGAAGGCAATGCAGCCATCTAATCGGGGCACTACACTAGCCTTCCAGGCAGGTTGCCCACTTTTAAATCATGGCTGTGTGGAGAAGTATACCTGTGGGTAAAGCACTTGCCATGGGATATTGACAGCCTGAGTTCAGATCTTCAAAACCCATGTCAAAGCCAGCTGTGGTGGCATGTGTCTGTGATCCCAGAGCTCCTATGACCACATGGGCAGCAGGGACAGAAGAGTCTCTTGGAAGCTTGTGGGCCAGCTAGCTTGGACTGTGTAGGATAGTGACAAACAACAAGAAAGGTACTGTCTCAAAAACAAGGTGAAAGGTGAGGACTCATACCCGAGGTTGTCCTCTGACCTTCACACATGCGCCATGCAATGCACACACAACAATAACAAAATTTAAAAGATAAATAATGGATATAACACTCTGGCCACATGATCTTGGTCAGTTATTTTGCTTTCAGGCTCGGTTTCTCCATTTATAAAGCAGGAGAACTTAGCTACCTTACTAAGTTGATCTGTCAGCAGTCCCATGGGATGTGTGCTGTTATTCTTGTAACACAGATGAGGAAGTAAGGCACACAGTTTCCATAGCTTTCTCATGGTTACACAGCTGCTCAGGGAGCTAGAGAGGGACTCAAATCCAGTTGCACAGGCTATCTTCAGAGCCATGAGCAACTATTGAAATGTTTGAGTATTTGAAATGGGTAGATAATTGGAAGAAAATATGATCTTCATACTTGTCCAACATTCCTCCCTTCTTTCTCAATCCTTTTTAGGATATACCATTGCAAAATTACAATAGTGGGGCCAGAGGGTTGACTCCGTGGTTAAGTGAGAACAACCCACATCCAGTGGTTCAGGACTACCTGTAACTCCAGCCGCAGGGACTCTGACACCCTCTGCTCCACAGGCACCTAAACTTAGGTACATATATATGCACACACAGATAGATAGATATGCAAAAGCTATACTGAAAACTAAAAAAAAAATGCAATGTGGTCATGTCTCATGGTCTGTAGGATAACAACAGATGCCAAAGTGTACAAATGTTCAAGTCCTTTATATAAAATAGAGACACATTTGCATAGAGCATGTGCACGATGTCTTCCCATGAATGTAAAATCTCTAGATTATAGAAAGCCCAATGCAATGGAAATGCCATGGAAACAGAACTATGGTATGCAGCTTAGGGGACAATGCCAGGGAAAGAGTCTGTGCTCAATACACAGGCAGCTTTTGATTTCACTTGTTGATGCTACTGCTTCTCTTTGACTCCTTTTGTTTTGTTTTGTTTTGTTTTGCTGAGACAAGGTTTCACTGTGCATCTCAGGCTGGCCTCAAAACCACAAGTGCTGCGATTTCAGGTGTGCTCCACCACTCCAGAGCAGATGCACTTCTCTGTGAAAATATTTTGTATTTGTAGTTGGTTGAACTCAAAGGTGTAGTGTTTATGGGTATGGAGGCCAGCTGTGGCACAGTGGAAACATCTGCCCTTTGTTCTTATAGGGTGTGGCTTAGTTACGTACTAACTTTCTGCTTCACATATTTAACCGCCCTTATCACATGTGTGCTTTCTTTTCTTTCATGCCTTCTGTCCTGTCCCTGGTCTCTAGGTGGCAGTGGGAGACATCGTGAAGGTCCTCAATGGGCAGTATCTTCCAGCAGACATGGTCCTCTTCTCCTCCAGGTCAGGTGTGCTGGTGGGCACAGGTTTTGGAATGAATGTTAAGGACAATAAAGTACCAAATGAAATGCAGAAATCTTGATTCATCGTTTCTCTTCTATCCCATGAGCTCTCCTCCCACAACCCTGACCTCTTTCACAAGCTGAGTATCCCTAATGAACTATAGTTTGGGTTTGGGGGGCATTTTGGATTCAAGATGTTGAGATTTGAGATGTTCAGTTGTTAAAGTCTATGCAAACATTTAACAATCCCAAACAGTGGGAAGCTGGGAGTACTTGTAGCCTCAAGCATTGTGGGTAAGTTAGGGATCCTCAGCCTGGACCTTTGTCAATTGCCTTCTCCTGCTGTGACCTTTTGGTTTTGCTTGTTTTGTCTCCTATTCATTCCCTTAGGTTTTTAGAAGCCTTTTGCTGCTATTGACTGCTTTAGCTCCCAGTGTATTGCTCCCAGGGTATTGCTCACTGGTCAAGATACTGATCAAAGGGCGTGAATGTTCAGTGACACCCAGGAGGTAGCATAGCTGAGACTCCAGCCCTTCCTTGGTCAATCCAGCCAGCTGTCTGTCTATCCTCTAGCCCTCAGCACTGCCTGTGAACAACTGTTCTGAGAATCTGAGGCATTATCTCAGTATAGACACAACCTGCAGGTGGCCCTGCACTTCACTCTTGCCCCAAACAGTTGCTGCACTGGGGAGTTTTGTGCTAGAAACAGTCATCACCAACACAGGGGGATGTGCGGGGTTCATACCGCCACCCTTGGCCTTCTTGGCTTCATGTGTGGAACACACACTGCAAAGAAGGAAAGCCAAATCCAGGGTAACAGAGACCTTCAAGGTTATAGTCGCACCGCTAAGACTATAACCCCTCTATTTATATGCCACTGGGAAAGGCAGGCACTCAGGCAGTTTGCATTTTCTTGAACTGCAGCCTTATTTCTTGTGTAGGACTTATCCCATGTTAGGAACCAAGGGATAAAGGGTTTTAAGATAGGATCCAAACAAAGTAATGGAGGGGGGAAGAGCCATAAACAAGGGGTGTGACTCATTGACCCTATTCAATAGTAATGAAGAAACTATTAGAATATATGTCAATTGGCAGTTTGGGCCAGGAAAATTGCCCATGACCTCAGGTGAGCTGGCTTACCTTAGATGGTTTGCTGTGCCGGCAGAAACTTTGGGGTGCACCTTGTATCTGAGGGGGTGTTTTTTGTGAGCAGTCTGATCAGTGGCTTTTAACTCCTGATAACTTTCATATTAGTACATGAAAGAACCAAGGCACAAAGAGCTTAAACATCTTTCCTAAGTCACTTGGCCCCTAAAACTAGCATCAGGGGGTTTAAACTCAGCCAGTGGGTTAGACAGTCATTTCTACCTCTACTCAATCACTTAAACCAGAAGGCTGGAGATGGGAGTATAGTACATACTGTGATCACTTTTACCCTCTTCTTAAAATTGAGTAAAGAGTTGCCTTTTGATGGCGTGACACATGTAGAGAAACAAAGGCCTGCCAGGATTGGGCCTTTTAACTCCCATGGTGCTAATTTTCTTCAAAAGATGTGTTTGTGCTGGGCTTGCCAGGGTGCAGCTTTTAGTCAGGGCAGGATGGTCCTCAGCCTTTAAGAATCACTCCACCTAGTGGGTGGGTTTTATTCCCACTCTAGTACAAAGGCCTGCCTCCTTCCCACCCGTTCTCAGTCACTGTCCAGTCAAGACCAAGCACATAGAGGTGAAACTGGATTGCTGAGTGCCAAAGATGAATCTATAGCTTCCTCTCATCAATTGTGTTACTGGGACAGTGTTTATAACAGTGTATTTGAAGGGTGACCAGCAAACATAGTTTCCACATCAGGGCTTTCATGTGGAGAGGATGGTACTAACCATGACCTTTTCCCCTTCCTCATAGTGAGCCTCAGGGGATGTGCTATGTTGAAACCGCTAACCTGGATGGGGAGACGAACCTTAAAATACGTCAGGTAAAGTCACTTCCTGATGACTCACATTGTTACAGAAGGTCAAATATGTGATATAAATGTCCCCTATGCACCTTGTGGAGAAAAAGTTGTTTGGCCATGAACAATAAGTTAAACCCTAGTAGAAGCTACAGAAGGCTTATGAGGGAAACTTGCTGAGGAGGCTAGCAAACTTAGGTGAGTTTCATCAGCTCAGTGTATCACGACTCGTTTGCATCTTCCTAAGCTCTGCCCACAGTGCTCAGGACTCAGCCTTCTTACCAGGCACAGCTGGGCAATGGGAAGAAAGCAACTATCTGGGCTTATGGAGTAGGAAGATCCAGGTACCTCAGCCCACATTGTGGTTGGAGCTACTATTGTAACAGTGGAGGGCCAAGCAATAGATACACTGTTTCCATACCCTAACCTATTCCTACTACTTTTCCTGAAAGCCAATGGTTCACTACCACCTTGACCTCCTCCCCCAAACCCTATAAACTGTACAAAAAAAGAGAGGCTCAAATCTTTGTGTTCATCTTAAGGACACTTAGGAAACTGTCCAGGCCACTGGGGATTTGGATATCTGAAAAGCTACCAAGTATATGAAAGATGTGTAGAGAAGCAATATGTGACATTCAGATGTCACAATGGCGAGGCTGGTAGGTGTGTCCAGGCCAAAGAGTGAGCTCTGTGACCGAAAAGGAGTGCAGAGTTTCTGAAGCACATGCTGAAAAATGCAGAGTAACTGTCAACAAAGTTTAGTTGTAGTTTCTCTAGTCATTGACCATCTCCCACAGTGGCAGTTTAGATGCAGACTCTGTAGTCATTGACAATCTCCAGATGGGTCACCAAATTTACAGTGCTCTGGGTTGAGTTAATCCTGGCTGGGCTGCCTGGCACACCAGGCTGATCTCCCCTGAAAAGAAACCATTGTTCCGAAATCAGAAGAGGAAGCTGCACAGAAGGAAAAGACATCCTAGGAAAAACTGATAGAACAAAGCCTATGGCACAGGGAGGAATTGGGGGAGGGGAGAAAACATGATCACACATATTAAATGGATTTTATTTTTAGAAAAAAACGAGAACCCTATAACACAGAAATAAATTCAGCACAAAATAGATACAAATTAAAAAAAAATCCTATCACACATTGTATTGTAATATAAGAATAGTCATTCATGAATAAAAATGTTAAGCATTTAAGACCCTTGTGGGTTTTTTGTTGTTACTGTTGTGGATTTTTTTTATGTTTCATAAAACTGAATTTAATAATTCTGTCCATATGTCTTTCTTTTTCCTATGTTATAATTTTTTTCTGTTTGGGGAAGCATTCATGAAGTTCATCAAACTACTTTGTTTAAGAAATATTCAGAACAAAGTGTTAAAAGTTTTAAGTATAACTAGTGGTGTGTACTACAGAACATTAAAGGACCCTCTACCTGACTATCTGAGCAGTATTGCAGGGTGGTGATAGCACTGTTTCCTGTCCTATGGTTCAGTGCCAAGACTATTATTTAAATATAGCTGTTTCTAGCAGAGGTGGGAGCTTCCTCTTCTGCACCATTGAAATCTTGACATCTTTGTGTCAAACCATGTCTTGAGGGTGCTATATAACTTATCAAATTATTGCATGACAGATGGCTCATTATGTCCCAAAGATTGACAGAATGCCATGCTGTCTCTCAAACACTGATGGCAGTATTTGATCTTCTCAGTTGGCTTATCGTTCTTTTCCAGGGCTTGAGCAACACAGCCGAGATGCAGACAAGGGAAGTGCTGATGAAACTGTCAGGAAGGATTGAATGTGAAGGGCCCAATCGCCATCTCTATGACTTCACTGGCAACTTGCACTTGGATGGGAAGAGGTCTAAACCTTCTTTTCTTAATTATTTCTCCTCCTCCTCTATCACCCTCTTACTTTTTAAATGTGGCCAAAAATTTCTGGACCTTTAAAAAATCCTGGTTCCATAGTATTTGAAAAATAGTGAGATTTCTTCATGTTGAGCTCATTTCTGAGAGACTGAAACAAGTCAAAGTCCTCTCATGGGGTTCTTTGAAAGTGGCTTACTCTTTCTTGCTTGTGACCTGTGAGGCCAAACAAGTAGTTCAAGATGCATTAAAAGACATGGGAAAGCAGCAGAGAGGTAGTGGGTGTGTATTTGGATTAAAACACATGGGAGACAGATATGTGGTTTCTTGTTAGCTTTCTTCTAAAAAGCATTGTTTCTATTTTATTCGGGTTTTTTTGGGGGAGTGGGGGGGTGTTGTGCATTGCAACTTGGCATTACACATGCTAGACCAGTGAGCCTCTCTACAACTCTGCTTGTCTTTAAAAAGTTGAAAGAAAAAGGGCTGTGAGCATGGCATAGTCAGTGAAATACCTGTTATGCCTGCATGAGGACCTTAGTTTGGACTTCCGGCCCACATAAAATCAAGGCCAGTCCTGGGGAAGTGCAGATTGGCTGACCCCTTAGCCAGCTGGCTCAATGAGAGTGAGAGACTTGTTTTGAAAATAAGGTGGAAAGATAAATGATGTTGACCTCTGGCCCCCCACACGCATATACATCCAGGAGCACATAGTTATCACACACACACACACACACACACACACACACACACGCACACTGAATGACTTACTGTTGAGGTTATCTTTTGTTGTGAATTTGACACACAGTCTACCTGCTGATACTCCACAGTCCACTGTCTGAGCTTCCCCCCCTACTTTGAATAGATCCTTAGCTGGAAGTGGGGAGGGGAGACTCTACAGAGGCTCAATGTGATAAGCAAGCAGAAGGTTGCTCCTTGGTTGGCATTTCATGTCCCGCCATCAGCATGCTTCCCTGCTGTAGATGACTCCTCAGATACTCATCTACTCGCCGCGCCATTTGGTATGAGTTTACTGCTATTTTCTCTTTCAGAGTCTATAAAGTAAATTGGTTTTCAGAAATGAATAAGCTTGAGGCTTTTTAGCATTCCCTTTGTCAGTGGTCTTGCATAACAGGATTATGAGACATAATCCTCTCTGACATTTTATAGGAAAAAAAAAACCATCCTATTCTATAGTGAAGAATGGATAAAGCAGACATTTGGGGTGGGGTAGGTAGATTAAGTTTACTGTAGACTTATGTAAGGGAAAATGCATGCTTATTTGACAGATTATCAAGAAGTATGAATGTTTTTCTTATTGTTTTAGCTCTGTTGCCCTCGGGCCCGACCAGATCTTACTGAGAGGCACCCAGCTCAGGAACACTCAGTGGGTCTTTGGCGTTGTTGTATATACTGGACATGATACCAAACTCATGCAGGTAAGATGTTTCTCTGGAAAGCTGTGTAGACTTTGGTTGTTTTAGTGTTTGTTTCTCCCTCATTCTCTGTTTTCTGTGAGGTTGGAAAATACAAACAAGAAGCTCAGGTTCATCAGAAAGTGTAAACTCAGAGAAAAGTGACTATTTCATTTCCTTACATGATTCCTTCTGTCCCTTTGTCATCACATTCTGGAAGACAATATCTCTGAATATAAGTGGTCTTTGTTGTGTAGGCCCTGTCTTCTGGATGTAAGGAGGGTTTAGTTACCCTTCTCTGTTTATCCTCTGGATCCCACTAAGTAGGATGTTATAGTACTCTTACTACATGAATTCTAGGTCATTTAAAAGAAAGGGACTTTGAACTAATGTTTATTCTTCATATGCCAAAGAAACAGCATTAATTTAAAAGACATTTTGTCTTTTTCACTGTTAATGCTTTTTCTTAAATTTTTGTTTATCTATATAGCCTATATTTATATTGTGACATATTCGGCCAAATGTCTTCTGAACATCTACATATATCTCTGTAGGAATCTCATTTCTTACATTCCTCTGATAGATGTTGGCATTTGTTGTCTGTCACTATTCTGGGAGAAACGTGAACAAACCTCTGTTCACCCCTGACAGGGAACCAACAACAAACCAAAGTACAGATACCACCTAAGTCCAACTTGGTGAATCAGTGTGTTTATTGAGGTCACCCGTAAGGATATGGATAAGGGGATACTTAGAAGAGCAAAAATACCTCAAGGACAGCTGTATCACCAAAGCCCACCCAGCATGGGTGAGGGCCCACAGAATCCAGAAATCTGAGACACATTGCACAGCCTTCAGGCAGCTTGGAGCGTCAGGGAGTGTCCTTTCCAGGAACCTAAGTTGTCCTGTGCCTTCTCCAGGTCTCTGTTTCTTCCAGGCAGCTCAGCTGGTCTGAGCCTCTTCTAAGCAGCTCAACTGGCTCAAACCATCTTTCAGTGTGGTCCTTACTGTTTGTCAATTCTTGGAAAGGGAAAGGCCTAGTGATTCTGATCAGTTTCAGAGACTTCCTGATGCCTTTGGGTTGTTTACTTCTAGAGCTCAATTAGTTTCCCTGCAGAATGGAAAGTTTCACTTCCCCTTAGAAGATCCTATGTTTTAACAGGCTTCTCTTCCAAATGAAAGGTTTTATATCAGAGGGAATTACTATGTAATTGCATTGTATTTTGTTAATTATAACTATTAAAAGAGAGTTGGGTCTTCTGCTGTTTTGTGTAACTTCCAAAGTCACGTTTAGCTTATGCCTTGGTTGAAAAATGTTTATAGCCACTATTCTCTGAGCCTTGTGCTAAGAAATCTGGGTTTATTAGCAAAAAGGCTAAATCTTCACCTTTTGGGGGACTGGTAGGTAAAGAGGTAATATGGAAAATATAGGAAGTAGGGATGTACTTATTGTAAACTATGCCACTATAGAGTTCTATGGATATAAATGCAAGAGTCTCCCATCCCAGACTTAGGAGTGTTGGTTAATGCAATGAAGACATGGAAGGATTCTGGATTACAGGGCTATGAGAGTTCCTGAAGGTGACGGTGACCCTTGGAGATGAGTGACACATGGATGTGAGCGTTCAGTACTCACCTCTGAGTTTCTGAAGTTGCGGAGGTGTAGACTGAGAGACCTGTGGCTGATCCAAGGCAGTGGGAGTTCAGGGTTCACCAGTGCCAGGTCCCTTGATGCTGAGTAGAAAGAGACTCGGAGCTTAAAGCAGACAGTGAGCTGGGATCGTGAAGGTAGACTAAAAACAGGGCTGGAGCAGAGAAGAATTCTATGAGCCAGTTTCTTAAGTTTTCCATGTTGGCAAGGTTGAGGAAGGTGACCTATTGGGGGAAGGGATGAAGATATGTATCCATTTGTCATGGATGTAGAGGGACAAAGGCTGGAGAAAGGCTACAGGGTCTTGACTACACAGTCAAGTTACCTCCAGATGCCAGTGGATGTGAGTCTTGCTGAAGCATCCTCTTTGGGAAAAGGTGTCTGATTTTGGGTGTTGCATGTCCTTAGCTGGGTAAAAGGAATGGCAGGAGGAGAGATCCAGAAGCATGGGGATGACACACAGCATTTGGGGAGCCTCCAGGCTCAGAAGAATACTCATAGAAGGTGTGTGTTGGAGGGGCAGTTATATCAAGTAGACAAAAAACTGGTCGACAGCTGCCATGGCAGCCCTTGAGTGAATGAAAAGTGTTCAGAATGTCTGAGATGTGTCTTATCTACTTTCCTGCTCAGCCCTCATTCATTCACGGGATTAGAACTCAAAGTTTATTGTCTTTGAGCAGTCTGCATACAACGACTGTCTTGACGGATAGTTTCTTGCTCTGCTACCTCTTAAGCAGCCTTGAACATTTGCAGCCTATTCCTAGTAGCCACAACAAACCCTTGGAGTGATGCTCACCACAGCTTCTGTGTTTTTGTGATGAAGTGATAAAGAGACCATGGGTGGGTAGCTCAGTGGGTAGAGTCCCAAGGCTAGGGTTTATATTGAAAGTTCAAGCTTTCTTCAAGTTCCCTTGGACCCTGGGTGATTTTTCAGTGTGTAATGTTGCTCTTCTAGGTCACATATTAATATTACAGCTTTGGAGTTCAGGCCAAGTACAATTTGTATCAGAGCATCACCATCAAGTCTTCAGTGGGCAAGATGAGTCTGTGCCATTCACATCCTTTGAGTGTGAGGGGCATTTTCCCTGTCTTCTGTGTGGCAAACTTTGGCAAGACTTACTGGTGTTGACATACAGAGAGCAATGGAAAATCCCAGAAACATCTGTGCTAGACTTGCTGTGCCTTTAGGGCTGAAACAACAGGAACAATGAAAATTCAAAAGGAATATAAAGTAACATATACAGCTGGAAGCCATTCTGTTCATGAAATAACATTGTGTCTACACTTGTGTTTTTGATGGAGGGGAAGCTGGATGGCCTTAGGGTTCTTGACTTCCACTGTGTACTCTTTACCTTCCAGAGCTCTGTCAGTTTATGCTGAGTGTAGTTATACAAGCAAACACTCAGTTCCTTTCTGTTGGTTGACTTAATGGGAAAGAGGTAATCAATAATTGTAGGAAACATTGATTATAACAAGGCACAAATTGTTTTGTGCCTCACATATATATGGATTCATTTGTTCTTTGGCATGAGAAAGGTACATCCATTACTTAAAATGTTTATTTTTATTTAATGTGTATAGGTGTTTTGCTTGCATGAATTTCTGTGCACCATGTGTGTTCTGTGTTTGCAGAAGCCAGAAGAGAGATGAGGGTGTCAGATCCCCTGGGACTGGAGTTACAGATGATTGTGGGCCACAATGTGGGTACTGAGAATTAAACTCAGGTCTTCTGCAAGAACAGCCAGTGCTCTTAACCACTGAGATGTACCTCTAACCCGAGTATTGTTATTTTAAAGATAGAGAAACTGAAGCACAGTGTTGAACTAACTCCAGCTTAGCTTACAAATCTAGAAAGAGTGAGGACTAGGGCTGAAATCCAGGTTGACACACTCTAGACTTATTCTGACTAGCGTCCCAATGTTTGCTTTCTAAGGAGGAGTAATGTATACAATTCAGGTCAGATTCCAGCATTTGCAAAATCTTACAATTTGACCCATTTTTATTGTAGTTCCAGACATCAAAGTGATAGTGTCCTTTAAGAATTTTATAAAAGAAATTATTCTAATAGGAATTGAGCATTAAAAACTCATTGTTGTAAGTGGAAATGTTTGGAAAAGGGAGTGAGTGTGCCGAACTTGGTTTTCCATTCTGGGCATGTGTTGAAGTCTGGAGTTCTAGGTTGTTTCCTTGTGTTGGATGAAAAGTCTGTTTTCCTAACACTGGTGACTGGTTGGACTTCAATGACTTCAGCTAACTGACAGGCTCACAGAAATGACAGCTTTTGTCATTTTTTTTCCTTCCTGAAAACTTAATGATTCTTAATTAAACACGATAGGATTGTCTTTAGTGTTTAAAGAATTCAAATAATCAGTTTCACAATAGAAGAGTTCCTGGCTCTCAACATGAGGCCAGATGTGGGAGTGCTATCCTGGGAGACTCCTATGGTGTTTGGCTGATTATAAGATGGCCTTTGCATGGAAAGATCTCCCATGCTCTTGGATAGGCAGGATAAACATAGTAAAAATGGCAATCTTGCCAAAAGTAATCTACAGATTCAATGCAGTCCCCATCAAAATCCCAACACAATTCTTCACTGACCTTGAAAGAACAATTCTCAACTTTATATGGAGAAACAAAAGACCCAGGATAGCTAAAACAACCCTGTACAATAGAGGAACTTCTGGAGGCATCCCCATCTCTAACTTTAAGCTCTATTACAGAGCTATAGTCCTGAAAACAGCTTGGTATTGGCACAAAAATAGACAGGTAGACCAATGGAATACAGTTGAAAACCCTGAAATTAATCCACACACCTATGAATACCTGATTTTTGACAAACAATCCTAATATATAAGCTGGAACAAAGAGAACATCTTCAACAAATGGTGCTGGCATAACTGGATGCAAACATATAGAAGACTACAGATAGACCCAAGCGTTTCGTCCTGCACAAAACTTGAGTCAAAATGGATCAAAGACCTCAACATAAACCTAGCCAAACTGAGCCTACTAGAAGATAAAGTGGGAAATACCCTTGAATTAATTGGTACAGGAGACAGCTTCCTGAACATAACACCAGTAGCACAGACACTGAGATCAACAATTAATAAATGGGACCTCCTGAAACTGAGAAGCTTCTGTAAGGCAAAGG